CTCAATCTCTAAAATACCAAGTGGTGACGAGAAAAGAAAAATTATCAGATAGATGATATTTCCTGGATATGGCACCAAATCCTGTTGACTTCTTTCTGAGGAAATGTGTAGCTGGCATAATTTCTCAAATGTTTAGAGTTACAAGATTGAGTATCAAATTTAATTTATTGTTTACCATGTAACGACAGAGGACAGAGCTGAATACCGTTTACACATGCGCTAGGTTTGGCTGCAGAAACACGGATTTTGAGGCATTCGCATGGTTGATTTCCTATTCTGTTGCTTCGAGGCGTCGTTTACCTTGCCGCTTTGCTTTCACAGGACAACCTCCAAAAACTGGGTACACCCCCTAGAAATTTTCAAAAATTGATTTTCTCCTTAAAACCTCTGGAAATAGGAAAATGCCTTCTATGAAAACAGAGTTCCTCAGTTTTAAAAGTCAGCCCTTATTATTTTCCGCTAATTTCGCTAAATTTAGACCTAGAACACATGAGCCCACGTTGTTGACCACATACCCACTGACGTAAGCATTTCATAATTATTCAGCTCTGTTGCGTCAAAGGTATACGGTTAACAATGGGGGCTCAAGTGTGTGAGGTTTAAAATTTAGCAAAATTTGTGAAATAACAAGGAGCTGGCATTTAAAACTGAGGTATTTTGTTGCTGTCAAAGGCATTTCCTAATTTCCAAAGTTTTTAAGGAGATAATTAATTCTCGAAAATATTTACAGGTTGTACAAAGTTTTTGGAAGTTGCTCAGCAAGAGAAAAGCAGCAAGGAAATCAAAGCCCACCTGAATAGAATTCAACCATGCAATCGACTCGAAATCTAAGTTTTCACGTCAAAACTTAGCACATGCGCACACATTTAAAAATTCAGCTCTGTCCTGTGTACCTAATACACTGATGGAACTATCGCAGCCTACAAGAAGATTTTTCTATCGATCAAAAGCTTCTTGAGTTTGGTATCATTTCCTTCATTCTCATGACCTTAATGTTTGACTCAGGGTTGGGACTGTTGGGAGAAATTGGATGCTCATCATTCTAAGAGGTTAATGGGTCAGTAGCAGGATAATTAGGTACTAGTGCCTTAATGTAACAAGGAGGCCAATTTGAGACTCCTATATTTAAGATATGTATATACCATAGTTTCTCATTTATAAAGTGCACGGTTTTTTCAAAGAAGATTCTGTCTTCAGTTGGAAAGTTAATGCTGAAATTGGGGTGCGTCTTATAACCAAGTATTTTAGCAGAAATTACAGTTAAAATGACAACAAAAGGACACTAATTGTTGGTCATTGACTTTTTTAGATCTGGTGGTTCTGAAAAGAACCRGGGTGGCTCTGAAAAGAGCCATTGTCGTGGTTCTGAAAGAACCATTTCTTATACAGCCTCCGTCAAATGACCCCAAAACGAATCCCACAGAAGCAGAGCTTTTTGGTCTGAGATGTAGCGAAGATTGCATAGAATCCAATTCTTTATTCCTATGAATTAAAAAGGAGTACTGCTTTTAGAACACTAATCAACTTCCATACAAAAGCAAACAAACGGAAATTTGCATACATTCTTAACAGCACATACTCATTAACATGATATTCATGCCAACAAAACAATTGTTCAAATCTCGTTTCAAATTCCTAGAATTGTGTTTGTGTTGCTTGCTTGAAAAGTTCCTTCTCTGAATAAACAATATGGACATAAAACCCGCCTTCTTTGTCCATCCAGCCTTTTTTGTGCACAGAAACTTGCAACCTCAGTGGTGTGTTGATATTCAGCTGTCAAACACCTTTGAATATGACTTTTGGTGGGAGTTTTTTTGCCATTTGCTTTCACTGCCAGTGCAACCATGAGACTTTCTCAGATCCATCACACCTTTTGTTAACTCTCAACCTTTTGGTGGATCTGATAACCGTGGATTTTCACATAATTTTCAGTTTGGGAACTGGGCTTGACTAACTTGCTAAGTTTGGGGTGGATCTTATAACCTAGTGCGCCTTATAACCTAGAAACTACAGTTATATTAAATTCATAACAAATAACTTATAATTAATTGATACAAAAACAAGCAAACTAGCCTATATTTGTCTGAAAGATCTTCTGGTTTGTCTTTGGGTCATCATAACAAGAAACAGATTTTTGATTGAAATTGTTGTCTAAAACTACATCTGCAATTTGATTCCCTTTAGAGAAGAAGACTAATTCATGGGGAAGTAAGGTCAGCTTATAGAGTAATATGTGTGATAAATAATTTGAGTCAAATGGTGATTTCTCTGTTACTTTAATTTTCATCAACAATGTCAGCCACAAAAAGAAAAATGATTTTGCAAGAAATCGCACTAGGATTAAAAATTGGACTGAGCCAGTTTGAAAAGTTTTTTTTTTGGTTATGTTTAAAAATCTCAGTCCCTTTTTAATGCAGCACAGCTATTTACATGGATAAGGCTGTGTGGCTCTTTTGTTCTATTTGCATTTGAGATTCTTATCTAAAGCTCTGCTACTTTTTTGTAAAGGATATTACTGCTCTCAAACAAGAGAACGAACACCTTAGGCAGGAAGTACACAAACTTAAGGCAGAGCTGGAATATTGGGAAGTGAGGAATGGATGTAAGTACACGAATTCCTACACATTTTTTTTTTCTGTTTAAACTTTTTCATCATTGAGTTGAAATTGGGCATGCTGGCTTTTTTTTATTTTTGTAGTGAAACAAGTTACTCTCCCAGTTTTAAAGCAAGGCACATCTTTCATTGAACAAGAAAAAGTTGCTGCGCCAGTTGCTGAACAGGCAGAAGTGAAACCTGAAAAAGCAAAAGAGGAAAAGCCAATGGAAAAGAAACCCAAGAAACAGAAAGCAGAGAAAAAAGTAAAGGAGAAGCCAAAAACAGCAGAAGGTACAAAACAAAACTAGATGTACTCATATATAGCCCACATGCTCTATGTACTTTTATCAGGGTGTGATTTGTTTTTTTACAAATTGTCATGTTTTGTCTTTCTGTTTCAAAAATTTTTCAAGGGTCATCTTTGTAATGGGAATTTATTTGTAGAATGCCTTTTGATGAGTTTCGTTAAACCAAAAACCAAAGTTATAACCAAGGTCCATTAGTGCAAAGGAAAATGTAGTCAGGGGCCCGACGCAAAGTGAAGACCAGAAAACTACTGTCAGTAACTTAGGGGCCGACCATTTAACTCTTGAGGGGGGGTGGGGTGATTTTGAAAAAAATTCCCTGCAAGCACTTGCTGGAAGAAAAAAATTGCATGCAGCCCAAATGTAACAGAAAAAAATTCTTGCGTTGCTGTATGAAAGGAAAAAAAATGTTGCAAAGCTGTTTCATCATTCCGGGGGGCTTTACAAAATTGCAGCAAAACTGCAACCATTGCTCCATTTGATGATGCTGAAAAATTATTGCTTCATACATGCAATGCATTATTAGCTATCTTCAGCAGTATTAAAATGGAGGTAAATTTTTTTATTAATGAATCAAGTTCTAATAGACAAAGGAAGTTATTTTTTTCATTTTTAACAGAAACACTTTTAACGGTGCATCACTTTATTTGACGTAATATAAAATGATTGTAAATAATGACTTCTGAAAACATAGCTATATTAGAACTATTGCTGCAATGACCACAATGTAAATGTAAATACATCTTGTATATGTAAACACGTGACCCTTTATTTGAGGAAAAAAATCCCGCAGAGAAATCAGGAGGGAAAAAAATATCCTGCAGAGCATTTAGAACGGAAAAAATATCGTGCCCAGCAGATTGCTAGAAAAAAATTTCTTGATGACCCGAAATCACCCACCCCCCCCCTCTCAAAAGTTAAATGGTCGGTCCCTTAAAGGCAGAAATGTGCGACTGACTGAGTAACAAAAGCTTCGTGATCAATTACAAAGCAAAGTAAAGCAAAACCAATGCATCACTCAGACGAAATTGCTCTATCAGTAGTTTTATTTTGTAATACTCTGCCAAATATTTGCAGTCAATTTAGTGTAGGTCGTTTCACTGAAAACTTGACCGTGCGGTGTCATTTTATGGCCATTATCAGGAGAATTTTTCTAAGATAGCGAGGAGCCCTGAAATAGTTTATTTTGAGGGTTCAAACAAAGACCTTAGCACAAAGAGAGTTAGGCCCCGTCCACACGAAGACGATTGTAAACGCAAACGCTACTAAACGCATATTTTTATTTCCGTCCACACGAAAACGATCATCGTTTACGTAGCGTTTTCACCCGTCCACACGAAAACGCTCGTAAACGCATAAAACGATGTCATACACCGAACGCGCATACGCTATCGATTTGAGCCTGCAATCTTTGCTTCAGCGCCTTGTTATCAAGTGTTAGCGTCCATGTTGTAAAGTCACCACGTGCGTTTGTTGTGATCGAGAGAGAAGAAAAATGTCGACC